GAAGCGCAGCTGGTGCTGTTCGAAAAGCAAGACAGTTACTTCGATTTGTCGTGGGTGTCTCAAACGATGGCATTGCCACGTCGACTATGGGCTGATCGACCTCGCCAAGGATCGCTTCATTTGCTGCTTCTGCGATATCAAGACGAAGTCGGCATGTCTGTGTCACGCGAGAGTACCCAATGTCGTTTTTCGCTGATCAGTTTCTTTGCTCATTTGCAATTCTCTTTTAATCACGTGACCAAGAGTGATGTGCCAGATCGAGTTCTCGGATGCTTCTCGCGCACGTGCCTTTCGCCCGATTCGATGCCACCCATATTTAGTCAGATGATCACATCTCTTGAACGGCAACGAATGACGGCAAGCTGATCATATCCCACTGATGGCCAAGACATGGCGCTCACTCCCATATCTTCCAATTGGAAATCCGTGAACATGGTGCTGCAAAAGCCGCGTCTCAATTGGGAGTACTTTTTTTGTATTGGGTTCCGGAGTAGGAGGGTTTGGGCTGGCCCACATTTTCAAGACAAAATTAAATCGGCTGATTTTNCTTGAACGGCAACGAATGACGGCAAGCTGATCATATCCCACTGATGGCCAAGACATGGCGCTCACTCCCATATCTTCCAATTGGAAATCCGTGAACATGGTGCTGCAAAAGCCGCGTCTCAATTGGGAGTACTTTTTTTGTATTGGGTTCCGGAGTAGGAGGGTTTGGGCTGGCCCACATTTTCAAGACAAAATTAAATCGGCTGATTTTGCTCAAACTTGGTGTGCGCGTAGCCACCGATGCCAGTCGAAGAATGATGGCCGTACCATAGCGTAATTCATCGTGGTTCACGAGTTATGGCTGAGTTCCTGCAATATATGTAACTTTGACTGTACAGCGATTGTGGCACAAATATCAAGATGCGCCACTGGGTTTTACGAGTTGTGACATGCAATTTTGACATGTGATTTGGAACGTTCTCGCAAAGACGCCACCGAAAAACCCTGTAGGCAATTTTTCTTTATTTTTGCATACTTGCGCCCGTCCTTTGTATCCCTCGACAGTGAAAGTTGGCCATATCTCAACACAGAAAAACAAAAATGCTTAGGGTTATCCGGTGTCGTTTTAATGAGAACAGTCCACATCATGTGTCGACATTTCAGGTCGTAACTCGTGAAAATTAGCGGCGCGTGGCCATATTGGCGAGTCCCAGCCGTCTTCGCCGGACCAGCTTGTAGTTGCTCCGGGAATCCTGCTGGTGATCTATATCGGCTCCAACTTTTCTGGTTGCTTGACCATCGGTGTTTGTTAGGGCTTCGCCCTCTCGCAGTGCGACCAACACCGAAGCGTCCACAATACAACCTGCTCTCAGCGTGCGTGCTGTACGTATACTCATTCCCCCCCGTCTATTTTTCCTACCATCTNTTCGCCCTCTCGCAGTGCGACCAACACCGAAGCGTCCACAATACAACCTGCTCTCAGCGTGCGTGCTGTACGTATACTCATTCCCCCCCGTCTATTTTTCCTACCATCTCATGCTTCGTACTCATACAGGTGCAAGAAGAACAAAGCTGACAAGCGAGCGGCATCCCAACGAGCTCAAGCCGGCCACATCGTCGGGAGTAGCGTGTCCCGAGTGGTTCGCCGCCAGACTCGAACCAGCGCTTTCAAGCTCCTTCTGCCTCTCACGATCGCGGCGGGCAACCCTCGAGATAGAGAAAAGGCACTGTTTTCGGTCTACACTACCGCCCGCGGCGACCGCGTCATGGTCATCACCGACGTCATCGCCGAGCAACCTGGTGCGCCTGCAAGCTGCATCGTGAA